TTATTTATTTATTGTCATTGTCAGAGAACAATGAAATTGCGTTTGGGGCTTCCGTACAACCCGTAAATAAAATAGTGAAGAAAATAATAAATACCCCTTAAAACCCAAGTGTAAATATTTAACCCAGTGTGACTCCAGTGCAATAAGACAATCCTTAGCAACAACATGAGAACATGACAAGTAATGTTCATAAGAAATTCAGACAAAGACCTGAGAAACATGGTAAATGGTAAATGGCCTGCATTTATATAGCGCCTTACTAGTCCCTAAGGACCCCAAAGCGCTTTACATATCCAGTCATCCACCCATTCACGCACACATTCACACACTGGTGATGGCAAGCTACATTGTAGCCACAGCCACCCTGGGGCGCACTGACAGAGGCGAGGCTGCCGGACACTGGCGCCACCGGGCCCTCTGACCACCACCAGTAGGCAACGGGTGAAGTGTCTTGCCCAAGGACACAACGACCGAGACTGTCCAAGCCGGGGCTCGAACCGGCAACCTTCCGATTACAAGGCGACCCCCCAACTCTTGAGCCACGATGACATGACATGTACAACAATGCAACCCGTTCAATATTATTGTACTGTGAGATATGATATTTCTCCTGTTTTGTCTTTCCTTCATTGGCTTCCTGTTAAATCCAGAATTCAAAATCCTGCTCCTCACATACAAGGTCTTAAATAATCAGGCCCCATCTCATCTTAATGACCTTGTAGTACCATATCACCCTATTAGAGCACTTCGCTCTCACTCTGCAGGCCTACTTGTTGTTCCTAGAGTATTTAAAAGTAGAATGGGAGGCAGAGCCTTCAGTTTTCAGGCCCCTCTGGGGGATTTCCATAATGCATTGAGTTTTTCCTTTCGAGTCACCTTTCACTCACTCAACGTGGGTTAATAGGACTCTCTGGTGAATCACACTTGTTATTAATCTCTCTCTCTTCCACATCGTGTCTTTATCCTGTTTTTCTTCTCTCACCCTAACCAATCATAGCAGATGGCCCCGTCCCTCCCTGAGCCTGGTTCTGCCGGATGTTTCTTCCTGTTAAAAGGGAGTTTTTCCTTCCGACTGTTGCCAAAGTGCTCATAGGGGTTCATATGATTGTTGGGTTTTGCCCTGTATGGATTATTGTGGGGTCTACCTTACAATATAAAGCACCTTGAGGCAACTGTTCTCATTTGGCGCTGTATAAATAAAGTTGAATTGAAAAACAGAATAATACAGACTGAAAGAACAACAGCTACAGCAGACTAAACAGCGCTGTGTGTTTGTGTGTTTGCAGGTTATTGCTGCTACAAAGGCTGGAAAAGGGTGTGTCTGATCAGGTGAAGCAATTTGAAGAAAACTCAACAAACCTGAACTCCTTAACCACTCAGATCCAGGTACTACAACAGACTGCAGTAATACTACAGTCTGTGTACATGCTCAAACACTTGAGTGCTAAATCACGGCCTCTGATTTGCAAAGTTGTAGTTTGAAAATTTATTTTAAAATGTTTAGCATTTATGCATAAGCTTCCATTTCTCCTCAGCTTAACCCCCAAAGTTAAGATATTTCCTCTGCACATCTCCAAACCATCTCTGCCTCGCCTCTTTAACTTTATCTCTAAACACATTTCTCTGCCACTCCTGAAAGTTGCTCTCTTGACACTCTATCATCTGCTTTCACATCTGTAGTGCTCTCTTCATTGAGATTGTCAAAGCAGGCCTAAAGCTACGTCCACTTTGGAAGCATTTCATGGTGATGTGGTGACAACTCACTGCAACTTAAAGTGACCGTGGCCCAAATGAGGACTGGTGGTGGGGAACAGGGCAGGGCCCGAGAAACTTATCTCTACTTCTACTACTAATGACAGTGAGGTGTATTTGAGGAATATATGAGTCTGTAGTACATGCACTGAACAACCAAGAAAAACATAAGCTGATGAAAAGTTGTGGCTTCTTCCAAACCAAAGGTTGAATTTTTAAGACCTGATCCAAAAATTGTTTTTTCCAGTCTGAGATGCAGCGACTCAGCTCCTTCTGCGCTGAACAACAGCAGAGGTCAGTCTGATTCCACCTGTTCACACGGAAAGATCGAGTTTGAGTTTTGTTTTAAATCTTACACTTAACTGATCCAGACTAGTTTTAACTTGTCAGACTTTAAATCTTCAGGATTCATTTTTTGTCACCTCAGGTTGAAGTCTTCGGAGGGTGGCGAGGCGGGGGTGGAGCATCCAGCCAGCCAGTAAAGAAGCATATGTCTTTGAGAGACACATTTCAGTTTCTTTTGTTAGAACACAAAGTTTAGTATTTAAGTTTCTCCTCAGAATACGGACAAAATATATTTGAAGACAACAAATAAAAACAAAGAGCAGAAGTCAGTGAGTTCATTTTTATTTGTTGTAGTAGTGATGATGATTTTATTTATAAAGTGCTTTCAGACAAAGTACACCTCTTTGAAAATAAAGAGATAAATAAAAGTGATGCACAGCAATACACGTTTAAAAACACAAGTTAAAAATAACTTCTTTTTTTTTTTTTTTTTTTTTTAAAGGCAGCGAATTAAGACATGTAGGATCGGATGAACAAGTGAGTCTTCAACTTAGCTTTAAAAACCCCCACAGAGCATGCCTGCCTTGCACCATCTGTAAACCTATAAAACTTTTCTTTGGTAGCCTAGAAAGGAGAGCGTTACAATAATCGATACGTGCTGACATTTATTTGTTTATATTTTATTTCTTATTGTCTTTAGTGGTAACAGCTCATTGCCATGGTTAAAGTTTGAAAGGCTGCAGTGACTTGACCAATCCACCAGGTGGAGACAAACTTGGTGGAGCACTTGAGAAATGATGTCTGTTCCAAAGAACAAACGCAAACAAAATATTTTAATAATCACAATAAATATGAGGGGAATAATGCCCACAGTTAAAAAAAAAAAAAAAAAAAAGATGCGCTCCTTGAGCCTGCACAGGTGGTGAAACGCTGAGTGTACTGGTCCCTGTGCAGCAGCGCCCCTGCTGCTTAAACAGTTTATGGTCTGTATCACACGCATGCAGCTCAGAGTAATCAGCCAGAGATTCAGAGCTTTCTGCAGTTTGGTGTTTAAAACAGCTGCAGTTGGTTGTGGACAAAAACCTTTATTTATGATTCAGATTACACTGACTGCATGTGAGCCACATGTTAATGTCGCTGCATGGCTGAAGAAATAAAAGGAGTTCAGGTGTTTGTACGAGGAGCTGCTGAAAAAACTGCAGTCACGTTATCTCCCAAAGCTTCATTTATTTCAGTAAGGTTACAAAGGAAACGCATCGCATGTTGAAATATCTCAGATTTGTCTTTCCGAGTTTTATTCCTGCACCCGTTTCCTCCCAAACATCAGTTTCGACCTTTTATCTGGACTGGAGTCTGTTCTGGTCCAACAGAGTCCTGCCTGAAACCAGTTTGTTTTTGTGTCTGTGCCACTAGTCGTCAGGCAACAAACTGACACAAGAGGAAAAACAGCAAAGATCCCCCAAAGGAAAGGAGATGGGGAGATGCCTAATGAGGCACCGTTAGAGACCTTAGAGGGGAGGCAGGTGGGAGAGAGCTGCTCAGGTGTGTCACTACTCAGAGAAGAGCACACCCGAGCAGCAGCAATCTGCTCCGTCTGCCTGAACTGGACTGAAACTGGACCTGGGCCAACAACTCTGTATTCTTCTTCTTCGTGGACTTTGATGGCCGGACTGATCCTGAGCTGCTGAGACATCACGGGTCGGTACCTTTCAGACTTTTAAACTGGATCAGTGCTAGGGTCCTGTACCCAGCTCATTTACAGTTTAGAATGTAGTTTATCTCAGAGCAATCAGTTTATTATAAGAGTGAAAACTGTTTATTTACATTTTTAAGATTTCGTTTTCCATTCAAACCCATTTCCATTTTTCCTCTATGGTTTGTTTTTGTTATTGCTTGTTATAAATCTACGTGAGTGTGACAGAGAGACCTGTCAGGCATGAACCAGGCTGTGAAGACCAGAAAGTATTTGTGAAGAAGGGTAAAAGCACAAATACACAAATCCTTTGCTGTCTGTGATCCACCATGTAGGATGTTTCCAGGAGGAAAAAGCAAATCCAGTGTAGGAAACGTTGTTTGGCTCCGTGTCCCCACACGACTGCAAGGATTTTAAATCTGGTTTGTGTTAAACAACTTCTACAATTTAAACTCAGCATTTCAATTAAAAAATAAACTACCTGTAGCATTTAAAGTAAAAGTACTCGGAACAATTATACACATTCTTCAAATGCTCTTCACAGTAACACTTTCATCTACTGATATCAGATTTCTATTTTAAAAAAACTCCAATACTGAAAACCAAGATCTAGCGTAGCATAGATCTGCTTTTTTAGTACAAGTGTACTTAAGTAAAGCACTTGAGCAGCGGCAAAATACATGCAGACCCATACACACCAAAAACATTCCTTTTAGGAATGAAGCTAGCTAGCTAACACTGAAGAAACTGCTTGAGCTTCCTACACTACGAGTTTCATTAGTCTGTCTATCCCAGGCTTCACGTTTTAATGGAGCCATCCAACCGTCTTACTGCTCGGCATCAGCTGGGGGGCGTGCTCCTGGACCAAATCATGAAATGAGGTGGGGTGAGGCGGGGCCAGAAGCTAACTGGATTTATTCCTCCTTGCCAAAAAGAAAACACAACTAATGTTGGTAAACAAATGTTATTTCTGTCAACGATCCTTAAAGTGGACTTTTCTCCCCCTTACGCCGTCCCTGCTACGATGTGCCAAGCTGTCAGCCAACAGTCAAAAACATGAATGAAAAAGCAGCCAAAGAAGAAGTTTAAAGGAGCTTCCTCAAAGCCTGAAAAACAACTGCTCAAGACCACTTTAAAAGTCACCAGGAAGTTGAGCTATAAAAAAAACCTGAGGGATGGCTCAAGAATTTACACACATTAAAAAAAACAAAGATGCGCTGTGTGGTGGGTCTTTGTCCGGTTCTTACTGGTTTCTATGGTTCCAGTTGAGATGGGCTGTCTGGGCGGCAAAACAGATGAAGAACGACTGGATGAAAAGGCAAAGAGAGAAGCAAATAAGAAGATTGAGAAGCAGCTGCAGAGGGAACGACAGACGTACAAAGCTACACACAGACTCTTACTGCTTGGTGAGATGCCGCCGTCTCTTTCAATCTATTTTTGTTTGAGCAATTTCAGAATTAACTTTAAAAAGTAGTTCCAAATATGGGGCACAATAAGGCTATGTTAGGCTTTCTGTCACAGTAGCACCGTCATGTCACCAGATTTTGGGTCCTCTGACAAAGCTTATATAATATTTTCAACTTTAGCCAAACATTTAGTTACCCAACAATAAATTATGACAATACTTGACATCTCTAATCAGACTTTAGCTCTTGAGCTCGTCACCCATGAAAGCTATGAGACTCCATGTGTTTACACCAGTAGGTGATATAAGAAGAAAAAAGCAGCCACTCATTTTATCCACTAAAACCTGGCTCAGCTTTCTGAATATTATGTGTGAGGAAGACCATGTTGACTGTAAGGATCGCATCTGTCCATCCATCTCTCTGTAACTGTAGGTGCAGGAGAATCGGGTAAAAGCACCATTGTCAAACAGATGAGGATTCTTCATGTGGACGGCTTTAATGCTGAGTGAGTTTATTAAAGCCATTAGCACATACACATTCGTACACGCATGCATACATCACAGTGTACATAACCAGTAGGTGTTGGCTCATGGAAACCTACGTCATGAAGCTTCTGGCTCAGTCTTTGTGCTGATGTTAATCCCAGGCTAGGTTGAAACTCTGCTGTTATTGAGTGAGCAGTGCGTCTGGGACTTAGGCACTCTGCCCCTCATGTGCAGTAGACACTGCACCCTTTTCTATCTGAGAATCAGAAGTTGGACTTCTCATTCCCACTGCTTTACCAATGCACCCGGTGCTAAAAGAATCACATAATCCACAAAGTGCAGAGAGATCAAAGCAGATCCCTCCATCACTTGGATACGCCATGAAGTTCTATGAACAGACTGACAAAAGGCGAGTCTGGCAGAGCCCACCAAGAATGAATAGGATGCAGAACATAGCTAGTAAGGTAAACATACAGTGGGGCAAAAAAGTATTTAGTCAGCCACCGATTGTGCAAGTTCCCCCACTTAAAATGATGACAGAGGTCAGTAATTTGCACCAGAGGTACACTTCAACTGTGAGAGACAGAATGTGAAAAAAAAAATCCATGAATCCACATGGTAGGATTTGTAAAGAATTTATTCGTAAATCAGGGTGGAAAATAAGTATTTGGTCAATAACAAAAATACAACTCAATACTTTGTAACATAACCTTTGTTGGCAATAACAGAGGTCAAACGTTTACTATAGGTCTTTACCAGGTTTGCACACACAGTAGCTGGTATTTTGGCCCATTCCTCCATGCAGATCTTCTCGAGAGCAGTGATGTTTTGGGGCTGTCGCCGAGCAACACGGACTTTCAACTCCCGCTACAGATTTTCTATGGGGTTGAGGTCTGGAGACTGGCTAGGCCACTCCAGGACTTTCAAATGATTCTTACGGAGCCACTCCTTTGTTGCCCGGGCGGTGTGTTTTGGATCATTGTCATGTTGGAAGACCCAGCCTCGTTTCATCTTCAAAGTTCTCACTGATGGAAGGAGGTTTTGGCTCAAAATCTCACGATACATGGCCCCATTCATTCTGTCCTTAACACGGATCAGTCGTCCTGTCCCCTTGGCAGAAAAACAGCCCCATAGCATGATGTTTCCACCCCCATGCTTCACAGTAGGTATGGTGTTCTTGGGATGCAACTCAGTATTCTTCTTCCTCCAAACACGACGAGTTGAGTTTATACCAAGAAGTTCTACTTTGGTTTCATCTGACCACATGACATTCTCCCAATCCTCTGCTGTATCATCCATGTGCTCTCTGGCAAACTTCAGACGGGCCTGGACATGCACTGGCTTCAGCAGCGGAACACGTCTGGCACTGTGGGATTTGATTCCCTGCCGTTGTAGTGTGTTACTGATGGTGACCTTTGTTACTTTGGTCCCAGCTCTCTGCAGGTCATTCACCAGGTCCCCCCGTGTGGTTCTGGGATCTTTGCTCACCATTCTCATGATCATTTTGACCCCACGGGATGAGATCTTGCGTGGAGCCCCAGATCGAGGGAGATTATCAGTGGTCTTGTATGTCTTCCATTTTCTGATGATTGCTCCCACAGTTGATGTTTTCACACCAAGCTGCTTGCCTATTGTAGATTCACTCTTCCCAGTCTGGTGCAGGTCTACAATACTTTTCCTGGTGTCCTTCGAAAGCTCTTTGGTCTTGGCCATGGCGGAGTTTGGAGTCTGACTGTTTGAGACTGTGGACAGGTGTCTTTTATACAGATGAGTTCAAACAGGTGCCATTCATACAGGTAACGAGTGGGGGACAGAAAAGCTTCTTACAGAAGACGTCACAGGTCTGTGAGAGCCAGAGATTTTCCTTGTTTGAGGTGACCAAATACTTATTTTCCACCCTGATTTACGAATAAATTCTTTACAAATCCTACCATGTGAATTCATGGATTTTTTTTTTCACATTCTGTCTCTCACAGTTGAAGTGTACCTCTGGTGCAAATTACTGACCTCTGTCATCATTTTAAGTCGGGGAACTTGCACAATCGGTGGCTGACTAAATACTTTTTTGCCCCACTGTATATGGTACAGGGACTGGATAGTTAACCCTACACTACTGATGCACCCTCAGCAGGACACAGGACACCCTGTTTCCACACCACAAAGCACATGAAGGTTGGCTGTGAAAACTTTCATGCATCCTTAAATATAGTTATGCTTCTGCTAAACCAACACATCTAAAAGAAAAGTTTGAAACTGCACAAAGCAGATCCACTTGCTTTAAAGCATCAGCTGACTGCAGTGCGGTTGGTTAAATACATAACCCTGGCCAATAGGCATGATGTATAGGTCTTAGACAGAACCATGGTTTTCTCCAAACATGCGCATTATAAAAAAACAAATATCTTGACTTTGGTATTGTATAAAAGTGTAAGTGTTCTGGTTTAATACGATGCAGCTTTGCAAACTGTCCATACCTGTTCAGTCTTTGGGGTGAATTTGCTGGGATGTCCATTCCTAGGAAAATTGTCAGTAAGTAAAATGTTATTTATATAGCACGTTTCTAGATGGAAAGATCACAAAGTGCTTCACAAAGTATAAAACAAAAACTGTCAGCTGTCTTCCGCTTGTGAAAAATCCTTAAAAATGTTTATGAATGGCCTCGGTAGATGCTGGAGTCACTATATTTAATCCCTCATTAATGTCAAAGTGTTTATTATTATAATAAGTGTTTTTTGGATCAATATTTCTAATAATGACATCATCACAGGTGGAGACGCCCAGATGTGTCTCTGTTTGTGACTTGAATTGGAATAAAGTTTTATCTTGTGGAGTGTAGCTTGAATGACAAGACGTTGGGTGTAGATGGAGACTGAGGACTAAACAAACTGCAGCTGAACATGTTCAGACTCTTGAGGCATCAGGATGTTTTACCTGAGCCAGTTTTCATGTTGGTCTTTCAGGGAGAAGCAGCAAAAGGTTCAGGACATCAGGAAGAACGTGAAGGACGCCATCGTGGTGAGTGACATGATGGCGAACACAGAACCTCAGTAATTGGTTCAAACATTTGAAAAACAATTTCCAGTTGGAGGTTAATCACAGGTGGTGACGGACAGCTGGAGCAAGTGTGTGTGTGTGTGTGTGTGTGTGTGTGTGTGTGTGTGTGTGTGTTTGTTTGTTTTAGACAATTGTGTCAGCTATGACTATTCTGGCTCCGCCCATTCCCCTGGGTAACCCTGGTAACCAGTTCAGAGCGGACTACATCAAGAGCATCGGTCCTCTGTCTGACTTTGAATACACCGAGGTAACACACACACACACACACACACACACACGTGTGAGGCTGCTTACCTGTAAAGCTGGCGCAGCGAGCATAAACAGGCGAGTTTCTTTCAGTCCTGCAGGAAATCAGACACGTCACATGACAGTCGGAGGTCGTGTGGCGTGTGAACGTTTGACTGGCTGGAAGAAAGAAGTTGTTAAAGGTGTTTCTGTTTTAAAGGTTGACGCTGGTGGATTTGAAGTGGGTGACATCACTGGGGTGTGATTGTTGTGTGAATTGTCAAAAGGATTTTCTTCACCACTCTGTGTAAAGATCAGTTTGTGTTTAAGTTTCCAGCCATCACAGAAATATAAATAATCACTGAAAGCGATGAAGTTAATCCAACATCTCCGTATTGTCACCTCGTGACCAATGGTCAGGACTTCCTGCAGGACAGGTGAGACCAAGGTGTGACACATACAGGCAGCTCGGCTGAAGCTGTCTGCAGTCGTCAGCAGCTAAGAGAAGACTTACCTGATTACAGGTGAGCTGCACCTTTAAAGCAGCACCAGGAGACCTGCTTTAAATCTTGTTTGTTTTAATGATGTTAATGACATGATGTAACGGCTTCACCTCAGCCGCACACACACCTGCCTCAGGGAATCACCTGAGGCCTCATTATCCAAACAGTGGAGTCTCTGAAGACTCAGACTCAAAACAAATGTCTTCCTGCGTTGCTTCACTCTCACACGCTTCACGGCGCAGTCACTGCTGTCCAGTCAGCCGACATCGCCCTGCCAACGTGTCAGCCGCCCTAAAAATATTAAACTGTGGAAATCACAGCTCCTCCTCAGTAGATTAGGTGTGGACGCTACTGTAATAACCAGCAACATGAGCTCTGTTCATCCAGCCTTCAGTCAGCACCACATGATTTATAAATGATAAAATCAACTACCTGTGAGTTCATGTTTAACAACATCTGCCCACTGACATACCAGTGTGGCCGGAGGGTTACAGAGCTGTGACATTCTACTGCGTAGACAGGAAGCCTGGGTTTGAACGGCAAACACGTGAAAATGAATGAAATAAACTACCTTTGTGTCCCGAACTGGATCAAGGTTTCAGTGTGACGGGATCACTTTAGTGCTGCAGCAGTGAGTTCATGTTAAACCAGGAAAGACTGTCCACTTTACTGTCTGTAGCAGGAAGTGCTGCACTGAAACAGCTGTTAGCTGTGAGGTTGGTGTTTGTGTACGAGGAGTGTGGAGGTGGAGAGCCTGTTTGAGTCCCCAGACCGACGGCTGGAGTCCGACACTCCAGTTTTTCCCTGCAACACCGGGTGTATCGAGCCAATCAGCTGGGCAAAGCAGATGATCAGCTATCAGTGCTACTTTATGCTATAAATGAGTCTCTTAGCCAACACAACCAAACAGTTTACAGCATCACAGGTTATCACACAGCACAAAATATTTCCTACTGAAACACAATCATGCTAACATCCATCAGCATGTCCACAGGGAAAAAAATCTCCATGTTACGGTCTCATCACATTTGACTTTGCTTTTCCTCACTTCTGATATGAAGTCGTCCAGTCAGTCAGACGATGTAAGGGAAAACACATCTCCAAAAAGTGTGCCGTCTCTTCCTCGTTGTCTACGCCCTTTTCCCCCTGCAGATATGCTGATGGATTCACAATCATGCTTCGACAGGAAACGTCAAAGCTAAACTTTTGATCTTTCAGGAGTTCTTTGAGCATGCTCAGAAGCTATGGGAGGACGACGGTGTGAAGGCGTGCTTTGAGCGTGCCAATGAATATCAGCTGATTGACTGCGCTCAGTAGTAAGACACTCACATTCACATGTTCCAGTCTTTGTGAGGGCCTTCATTACACCCAGGGCACTGGCACACCTCAGCACAGATACCGCTTCTGACCCTCACTCATGTTACAACTTGGTTCAAAAGCATAAATGTGGAGACTGAGACCAGAGTTTCAAGAAGCATGGGTTTTATTTTAAATTACAAAAGAAGTTAGCTGTATCATTTGGTAACCCAAAGATTCTCAGGCATCCCATTGGCAGGTGTAGTCAGTTCACAATCAAACATAGGCCCCACCTGAATGCTACTGCACTGTCACTGCAAAGAGAACTGTGTCCTCATAAAGATATACAAACCATCACACACTCTGCAATCTCAGTGGACCAATCACAACACTCCTGTACAGCTTCTCATCATTATCTCATCCTGTGTTTCAGCTTCCTGAATCGGCTGGAATCAGTTCGGAGGCCCGATTACTCACCCACCGACCAGGTAACGAACCAGCCAATCAAACAGCAGCACCCAGCATGACTCACCTATTGCTGACTCGCTGTTCTCCTCCTGCAGGACCTGCTGCGCTGCAGAGTTCTGACTTCAGGGATTTTTGAAACCAGTTTTCAGGTGGACAAAGTCAACTTCCAGTAAGTGGAACAACCAGCAGAACAGTTTCACGGACAGGAAATTAGAATCGGAATCAGAAAGGGTTTTACTAGGGGACTAGTAAAAGCGCTATACAAATACAGGCCATTTACCAGGCCAATGTTGAGCAGGTTTACAACATTAGGAAATTGCTGTGGTACTTAGTGCAAACATACTGTCAGACAACGCTGAAATAAACAAAAATAAAAATAAGTGCTAAGTAGATAGATTTATATACATGAGTGCAGGTGGTGATCAGTGCAAACATGGAATGATGCAGTGAACACAGCATAGGGTCATATGTTAGTGGTGCCAACAGTCATGTGGTTATTGTTCATGAGTCCAACAGCAGAGGGGAAGAAACTGTTCTCATGGCGATAGGTTCTGGTGCGAATGGACCGGAGCCTCCTGCCTGAGGGGAGCAGGTCAAACAGACTGCGTCCAGGGTGAGAAGGGTCAGCTGTGAGCTGAGCTGTACGCCCCAGTGTCCTGGAGGCGTACAGGTCCTGCAGAGATGGGAGTCTGCAGCCAATCACCTTCTCAGCAGAGCGCACAACACGCTGCAGTCTCTGTTTGTCCCTGATAGTGGCTCCAGCGTACCACACGGTGATGGAGGAGGTGAGGATGGACTCGATGATTGCAGTGTAGAATTGCGTCATCGTCCGTGTTGGCAGGTTGAATTTCTTCAGCTGCCTCAGGAAGTACATCCTCTGCTGGGCTTTCTTTATGACGGAGGTGATGGTGGGCTCCCACTTCAGGTCCTGGGTGATGGTGGTACCCAGGAAGTGGAATGAGTCCACAGTGGTGATGGGGGTGTCAGTCAGGATGATGGGGGGGGGGCTGTGTGCTTCCTGAAGTCCACAATAATCTCCACTGTCTTCTGGGCGTTCAGCACCAGGTTGTTGTGGCTGCACCAGGGCACCAGACGTTCAACCTCCCTCCTGTAGGCAGACTCATCCCCGTCCGAGATGAGTCCAATAACGGTGGTGTCATCTGCAAACTTGATTAGCTTGACAGACTGGTGGGTGGAGGTGCAGCAGTTGGTGTACAGGGAGAAGAGCAGAGGAGAAAGAACACAGCCCTGAGGGGAGCTGGTGCTGATGGTCCGGGAGTCCGAGACGTTCTTTCCCAGCCTCACATGCTGCTTCCTGTCCGTCAGGAAGTCAGTGATCCACCGGCAGATGGGATCAGGCACATTCATCTGGGAAAGCTTGCCTTGGAGATGGTCTGGAAGGATGGTGTTGAAGGCAGAGCTGAAGTCCACAAACAGGATCCTGGCGTAGGTTCCTGGGGAGTCCAGATGCTGCAGGATGAAGTGTAGGGCCATGTTGATGGCGTCATCTACAGACCTGTTGGCTCTGTATGCAAACTGCAGGGGGTCCAGGAGGGGGGCCGTAGGGTCTTGAGGTAGGAGAGAACCAGGCGCTCAAATGACTTCATGACCACAGATGTCAGAGCCACAGGTCTGTAGTCATTTAGTCCAGTGATCCTAGGTTTCTTGGGGACAGGGATTATGGTAGAGGACTTGAAGCAGGCAGACACATGACATGCCTGCAGTGACGAGTTGAAAATGCCAGAAAACACTGGGGCCAGCTCGTTTGCACAGTGTCTGAGGGTGGCAGGAGACACACCGTCTGGGCCAGGAGCTTTCCGAGCATTCAGACTCTTAAACTGCTTCCTCACATCTGTTTGAATATGAAGAGTTGTGGTGGGAGGAGGTGGTGTGAAATCCTCTTTTTTGTGGGGTGAGGAGGGGGGTGTTGTAGGTGAAGTGTTTGAAGGTGGTGATGGCTCTTTGGAGGGGGGAGAGGTGGGGGAATGAGTGTCCAAAGTGTCTCTATTGTTGGGGCCGTTGGAGGTGTGAAGGCTGCCTGATAGCTCGTCAAAACGGCAGTAAAAGTCGTTAAGGGTGTTGGCCAAGAGCAAGTCATCGGTGGATGGGGGGTTTTAGGCTTGTAGTTGGTGATATTCCTAAAACCTTTCCACACAGAGGCCGAGTCATTCTCTGAGATCTGCTGCTGCATCTTCTCAGAGTGCTGATGTTTAGCAATGTCCACTTCTTTAGTGAACCTGTACTTGGCCTCTCTGTAGCAGTCCCTGTCTCCGCTTCTGAACGCCTTTCTCTTTTCCAGCCACAGCTTTTTGAGTTTAGGAGTAAACCAGGGTTTGTCATTGTTATAACTCACCCTGGTGCGTGATGGCACAATGCTGACCTCACAGAAGTGGATATAGGAGGTGACAGTGTCCGTAAACTCGTCCAAGCTGTTAGAAGCAGCCTTCATTGTGTCCCAGTCTGTAGACTCCAAACACGTGCGAAGCTCCTCCACAGCCTCGTTGCTCCAGTTTTTTTTGGTTTTTTTTTTAGCCCTCACGACAGGTTTGGAGAGCTTCAGCCTCTGTCTGTACGCGGGGATTAGGTGGATCATGACGTGGTCAGAAAGTCCGAGTGAACCACGCGATAGACCCCGCTGATCGTGCTGTAACAGTGGTCCAAGGTCCTCTCCTCTCTGGTCGGGCATTTAATATACTGCTTGTATTTGGGAAGCTCTTGGCTCAGATTGGCTTTGTTTGCTTTGTTACTTACTTAATTACTTCTTGTTCCTAAAGAAAACCATAAGCCCCATCAGAGAACCTGATTGTAGATCACTGATGAATAACCACAATGCACTGCTGACAAGTGTTGGGGAGTAATGGAATAGATGTACCGGTGTTACGTATTAAAATGCAAAATATGAGTAACTGTATTCCATTACAGTTACCCTTTAAAAGGTGGTAATCAGAATACAGTTACTTTGTTGAAATAAATGGATTACACAGCGGTATTTCCCTGTGTCATATATTAGGCTATGGCCTCTCTATTTTTGGTAATTCCACACACAGTGGAAACCCAAACAAAACACGCATTAAGAGGCTCTAATGCCCGTGTCTCAATCTCGCGGCCCATGTCACCTCTACTTGCGGCCCAGATAATGATGTGAAGAAATATTTTTCAATTCAATTTTATTTATATAGCGCCAAATCACAACAGTCGCCTCAAGGCGCTTTATATTGTAAGGTAGAGCCTAAAATAATACAGAGAAAATACAGAGAAAAAACCCAACAATCATATGACCCCCTATGAGCAAGCACTTTGGCGACAGTGGGAAGGAAAAACTTCCTTTTAACAGGAAGAAACCTCCGGCAGAACCAGGATCAGGGAGGGGTGGGGCCATCTGCTGTGATTAGTTTGGGTGAGAGAAGGAAAACAGGATGAAGACAATCTGTGGAAGAGAGACAGAGATTAATAACAAGTATGATTCAGTGCAGAGAGGTCTGTTAATACATAGTGAGTGAGAAAGGTGACTGGAAAGGAAACACCCAATGCATCATGGGAAGCCCCGGCAGCCTACGTCTATTGCAGCATAACTAAGGGAGGATTCAGGGTCACCTGGTCCAGCCCTAACTATATGCTTTAGCAAAAAGGAAAGTTTTAAGCCTAATCTTAAAAATTTTAAAAAATCATTATTCAAAAAAAATTTTTAATGAGGGGAAATAGGCAGAGCTTTCCAGGCTCTGCTCGACTACTCATCACCTTGACAATAATCGACTGGTAAGACTCGACTGTACACTGTGTTCGTGTTTTCCTCCCAAACAATAAGTTCAGTTGGAGCAGCCTTTCAATGCCTCTCTGTGTCTCTCGCAAAGTCGACCCAGACAACAAAGTAAAGCTAGTTTTCAGCTACAAGCCCAACACGAACCCGACGTATTAGCCAGAGGTCCCTTTACTATGGTTCGGAGCCGCGGACCTGTTTTATATACGTGCCAAACAGTTTTCTATACGAGATTGCTGCAAAAAGTGCAGCCTTACCTAATGTCCACCTACTGTTACTCATTTATATTAAGATTTAAACATCTAGCTGGTGTTGGTATGGAGAGTAACCTTCAGTAATAGTAATAAATCACACAGCAATTGGACATTCATGTACTATTCAAAACACGTTACTCTCATTGAGTAACGTAACAGAATAAATTACAAACTACATTTTGGGGCATGTAGTCGGTAGTGGAATACATTTTTAAAGTAACCTTCCCATCACTGATGCTGACAGACAGCTCTAACCGTGTTTGTGTGTGTCAGTATGTTTGATGTAGGAGGACAGCGGGACGAACGCAGGAAGTGGATTCAGTGCTTCAACGGTGAGGAAAAAACAGATTCTTTATCGATCGAGCCTGAAAGCAGCAGGGAGTTTGATGTGTGTGTGCACTTGCGTCCAGATGTGACCGCCATCATCTTCGTGGCAGCGAGCAGCAGCTACAACATGGTGATCCGTGAGGACAACTCCACCAATCGGCTGCGAGAATCTCTGGACCTCTTCAGATCCATCTGGACCAACAGGTTCTCTGACTGACTGAAGTTGCCAATTACACTCTGATTGGCTGCCTTAAACAGGGCAGGGATAGCTCAGTAGGTAGAGTGGTGGCCCCATGATCGGGAGGTCGGGGGTTCGATTCCCCTGAACAGCTACCCTGAGGTACCCCTGAGCAAGGTACCGTCCCTACACACTGCTGCCTGGGCGCCCAATGGCTGCCCACTGCTTCACTGAGTGAATGGGTTAAATGCAGAGAGGGATTTTCCCCACGGGGACCAATAAAGTACACTTTCTTCTTCTTCTTTCTTCTAAACACTTCCTACCAACTGAGTACATGTAGTTGACTGTCCTGTTCTCTGATTGGCCGTAGGTTCCTGAAGACTATTTCAGTGATCCTCTTCCTGAACAAACAGGATGTTCTTGCTGAGAAGATTCTGGCTGGAAAGTCGAAGCTGGAGGATTATTTCCCAGAATATAACAACTACCAGCTTCCTGCTGATGGTAAATATCCAAAGAGTGTGGAAAGTTAATGTCCTTGTCTCAAAGGTTTGCACTGAATTTCAAACTTGCTGCTCCTTCCTCCTGGAATAGGCTGCAGAATGTGCAGGAGACTTAAGGTTTGACTGAGTTTAAGGCCATTTTAAATGAGCTGAATGCAGTTAATTCAGGATGCAAATGGTTTTTCCTGAATATTATTAGCTTTGTTTCTGGCCTTGGAGCGTTGCTTCTGAAGGCTTATTGTGACTGAAGTCTGTACGTGATTTTTCTCCCCCCCCCCCCCCCCCTCTTTGTGTGATTGACTGCTGTATGACTTGTGTGTATATATATGTGTAGCTTACGCCTGTAATGCTGTCATTCTTGGTTGGGACTTTTAATCTTGAGACTTTTTATTTTTTCCTGGTTGAATAAACACAAATTGAAATCTGTCCCACCAACACGTGAGTGCGCCTCGAGCACGTGAACACACCTCTTGACCATGCACACTTGTTTCAGCTGTTCCAGACACTGATGAAGACCCCAAAGTGATGAGGGCCAAGTTCTTCATCAGAGATGAGTTTCTGGTAAAATCGCTTCCCGCCTTGACATCACGCTATCACACGATGGCGTGTTCAGACTAACATGCGACTCCCGTTTCAGAGGATCAGTACAGCGAGCGGTGACGGCAAACATTACTGCTACCCTCACTTCACCTGTGCTGTTGACACCGAGAACATCCGCCGTGTCTTCAACGACTGCCGTGACATCATCCAGCGGATGCACCTGCGGCAGTATGAACTGCTCTGACTGCTGGGCGCCGCCTGGCCCCGGCCACTCTGAAGAAGCCGATAAGTAATGGAAGCAGATAGCCGATCAATGCTCATAGCGTTTGTGATATTTATTAGTGATTATAGATTAGGACAGACTCTTATTAGCTGTGTGTTCCATGTTCTTTATGTCCTGCAGGGCATTGTGGTCAGAATTATTGGCATGGCAGCAATGTGTCATGTGGGAGGAGGTGGAGTCTGGAAATCTATTTTTACATGTTATTTGTGTTATCTTTGCTCTGATTGGCTGATCCATTTGAATAATTAAACACCTTTGTTTACCTGTGAACTTGGGGTCAAAGGTCAGTCTTTATTCAGAAGCTGTTCAAATGTTTTTATTTGTTATTCAGAGAGCTAAGTGTTTACCTGCAGGTTGCCAGGTGTGTCCTGGCTCTGCTACGCCACGGTAACCTATAGACTCAAGATTCATGTCCACAGCAGATAGAATATAACGTGACAGGAAACGACTCTGTCTTCTAATCTGAAGACTGTCTTTCCAATTAATTTCCAAATTAAAATTCAGGGATCTTTCCCTTTTTAAAAAAAACAAACAAAAAAAAAAAAAAACCTCTTCACATTTTAAGAGCTTCACGTTGTTGATTTTGAACACTTTCTCAGAAACACAAGCTGTGACGATGTTTTCACTCTTTGAGAAGCAACAGCACACAGAGAAACTGGGGACTTTGAAGTGAGACCAGATTGTTCAGCTTTCTGCTCCTGAACAACTATAACATATCTTTATGGTTTGATCCAAATGAAACATACAAATAAAATTTTTATTTTTTATTTTTGTTGCTGATCTTCAGATGACAGTGCATCTAAATAAAGGGCACAGAGACACAGAACTACTACTCTGTCATTAAAAGAGTTAGGAGAGAGTAATGTAGCTTACTGCCAACATGTAGATGAAAATGAGCTGATGGTAACTAACCTCAGGCTGGCAGTATTATACCTGCTGGCTTTAATGCCACAAACTAGCCAGGTGAGCAGGTGCAGATGACTCTGCCGGCTTGAGGACTCTGATCACCAGAGCAGGTACGAAGCACTAAAGTGATCTCGTTTATCCTCAGTCTTTACTAAAAACATCTAAAAACAATAAACTGTGAGAGGATGAGATAACTGAGCTATGCTGCAGAATCATGTACGTGTGTCTGGATTCTGACTGCCACCAGGTGAGAGGCATGTGTACCTGAGTGTGTCACCTGCTCATCACCAGGCACACCTTTACTATCCCATAGTTTGGGCTGTGGGAGAACAGAGATATCTTTGAACCTTCTTCCTGTAACAGCGCCACTTGAACTTAGGACAGGTACTTTATCAGCTGGTTTATACCTGCACAACTAAGCACGCAACACTGCCCCCTGATGGTGAAGCTTCTCTTAAATTCTCTGATTAAACATTCTCACATTAAACATTTCCTGTGATCCGAGTCAGCTGATGGCTTTGTAAAGTTTCACATAGGATAAGGTCAGATCATGTGAACGCCATAAATGAATGCAGTGATGGGAAAACAAATGCGAGTCTGACTTAAATGGGCTAAACACCATAGGTGTGAAAACACCCTAAGACTGTAATTGGAGTATTCTCAGTAATCTGAGTAATCTTCATGTAAACAGTTGGTTTTTATGCTGTGTTGTGGACTGAATATTTTTAAGTATCGGAGTACCTGTAACAGCTGTTACCATGGTTACTGCTCATCATGTACTAATGTTCAATCGACTTGAAATAATCCACTTCCTGTACAGATGTTTCTAACATGGTCGGCAGGTCAGAAGGGTCTGTGGCCACATTTTCTACAGGTGCACCAGATCTTCTGAACTAGTCAAAAGTAAGTGGACAGACCGACATGATCTGTCACTCTGTCCTCCAGTGAGTCAGAGAATGACTCATGACCTGTATGTGATGCCAGTGATGTTTAAAAATAAAAGAAAAAGCTTTTATTCTGAAGAGTATTACATTTTTATTTCGCCTGTAAAGTCAGACAGGTACAGACAGGTGGGACATTCGGGCTCTGTGCCTCCTTCACCAACTCCAGTAACAGGTGAGCACATCTGTCAAGATTTCTTCTTCTCTGTTATTATTAACTGCAGGTGACCTCACGGTGTGTTCAAAGCTCTCTGTGTAAAAACTGCTTTTCTGGAACCACTCCTCTGTCCGTCCACTGTTCTGGTCACAGAGATCCATGCAGTTCTCTGAGATCCTGACTGCGTGTCGCTCGGATGGTGCGCCTGCTGAATTTGGACTAGTTGCAGCTGGATAGTGTAGTGGTAAAACTACACACCTCTGGAGTGCAGGTCACAAATTCAGTTCCCACCCAGTATCCAGTAACGGTTCTGGCTAGATCCCTCATTCTAAAAACCAGCCCTGGAGTGACGCGGCTATGTCTGCAGCCTGTCCGCAGTTCAGGACACAAGCATTTCACCACATGTTCACTATATGTTGTACTGTGTATGTGACAAATAAAATCTGTGTCTGATAAAAGGGTGGAAATAGAACGATAGTGGCGTTCACGAGAATGGGACATAAAAAAAAAAGTTTAACGTTTGCAGCCTGTCTGTGTTTTTCCAACACTGGCTTTCACCTCCAGTCTCTGATGTTAGAGGGCGCTCTCCTGCGCGCCTGGTGGAGGCAGTGTTGCCAACTAAGCGAGTTTGTCGCTATATTTAGCGAGTTTTCAGACCCCCTTAGCGACTTTTTTTCTAAAAAGCGACTAGCGATAAATCTAGCGGCTTTTTCTGGTATTATTGGAGACTTATTTATGACGACTTTTTGATGTGAAAGTGCGTATCGCTCTTAGTCTCAATAAGCAGCGGTGCTGCCGTGGGCACCTCGCCCGTTCCAAAGCGCTCACGGGCGGAGGTAGTCCTCCCCCAGCTGCTATCAGGGCAGAAGATGTTCACACCTATGCGTCCAAACTGCAAATGAATTGCGCATGAGCGAAGCCGCTGCTCCTGCACTGACTGTAACGCAGTCAATTCTTTTACTCTTATGCTGTTTTATGGATCACAAGGTTTAAAACTACTTATAAACCAGAGGCGGAGCCAGACATTTGAAACACCCGGGGCTTAGCCCTAAAGGGTAGTATGCATGTGGGATTTTATTTTATTTATTTATTTATTTTTTTTTGGGGGGGGGTGTTAGAAATGACTGAAAGATTAATTGGCTCTGTTTTGAGTTTTGTTCAAAAAAGTGACTTCATATGGGGAAAAATATATATCACATATGCAGGACACCTTAAACTAGTTTTTTAATTAAGCAGCAAGGCAGAACAAAGTCGGGGCTGTATCAAGACACGAGGACTAAACCCCAATTCAACCAGACCCAGAACTGATCCGGAATTAAAACAGGACTACAACAGTTCAAAATCAGGACTACTGAGGACTTAACCAAGACAGAACCAGAATCAGAACTAGATGATAGCAGCACTAAAAATCATCATAGACCTGCACTACACTTATTTTTTAATTCTACCAAAGTACAATATTTAGATTGAGAAAAGTTTATATAATTATTTAGCCTTGTTGTGCAAACAAGCCTGCATAACTTAATAAATACAGAATTTGAAAAATAACAAACCTAAAAAGAAACACTAGGTACGAGATACATGAGTACCTATGATACGGTGATACTTTTGGTAAACAACCATTTGACTAACATGTCTGTCTCACCTGCTCTTGTTCATCTCTGTTCTGTCCTCATTCTCCATCTCCCTCTCTGTTCCTCTCTCCCTCTTTGTGCTGACAATCATCAAATATACAGTTGAAACCAGATATTTACATGCTCTTCAGATAAAAACACAAACACTTATTTAAGGTAAAACCTCAAATTAGACTAAATGTTTAATTTATATTTGTTAAATTTAAGAGTAAAGAGAGAAACTATCTGTATTTCTTAATTGCAAATGACACCCAAATTGTATTCAAAATTGAGCCACACTTATGGAGCTCCACAATTCTTTTCCTGGTGTTTTGGTTGACATCTCTTGATTTTCCCATGTTAAAGAAACAGGCTCTGTGTTTTGCCTTATATGCATCCACAGCTGTGCCACCAATTTACTCACATGGACTCTACTAACCTATCAGAAGCTTCTTCAGCTCAGAATGGAATCGTCTGGAGTTTTCTTATTAATTAACAAACTTAGTGTACATGTACTCCTAAATTTGATGAAAGTGATAAAAAATAGAAGCTCCGTCTCTCTTTATTCTGACATTTAACTAATTCAAAATATATTTCAATATTTATCTAAAACAAAAGTTTACTCTAAATTGATGTTGTACAGTAAAAATGTTTTATGTTTTCTCCCTAAAGAGTATGTAAATATCTGGTTACAAATGTGAATATCCTGCTGTGTACTGAAATTCCTCTTGTTTTGCATAGAAATATACTGAACAACATACAAAGCATAATATATAAAATAACATTTACCTGAGTTTTTTCTTTGAAAGAACCCTCTAATGTCCATTCTTATATTTCAGTACATTACTGAAACCGATTTAGTCGGGGAGGGTAAGAACTGAAAATATGAAATAAACACACGTAAGCTAAGACTCTCTAAAAAAATATCATTTGTTCGGCTTTTCATTTCGCCATTTGTTGATTCACTTGAAGAGCAAGTAACGTAATATTGGTCAAGTGATCAGTTTGATATCAATCTTTCATGATACACCGTTATATTTACATTATTTGTATGGTACGAATGATTTGCTTTGGTACCTGGTCAATCTTAAGGTCTCCTTAGTATGGCTGACTCCGTTTCTCCAACAGCGCACTCACAGGCAGCAGCTGCCCCGCCCTCTCGCTCAGTCGCTTAGTGCCTGAGCTCGGATCATACCAATAGAGATTGAAAATGTGACGTCACTCAGGGGTAAAACCGCAAAGAATTCTGGGAACTCGTGGCAAGAGGTACTAGCGCACGCAGGCTTTCAATTGAAATCAGTTATACAGCGGTAAAAAGAAACACAAAAATGGCAAGAAGCCGTTGTATTATTAACTGCAATAGCCGGTCGCATGACAGCCACGGAAAGCCGACGGGTAAAGAGATCGGTTGTTATCGGATTACGTCGTTGAAGAGAAATTGTTCGAGCCATGTTTCCGAGGTAACAAAGACGCGACTGGATTGCAGCCATTCAAAGAGCAAATATAACGTCCCAGAACACTCCAGCTCACAGGTTAGTCTGCTCCAAGCATTTCCACAAAGGTCAGTCTTCTGTTGTAGTTAATACGTCATTTTTCTTAACATAATTAGTGATATAGGTTACAAG